ATCTCATTAGTTATAGTCCTATTCTTTGGTCAATGATCTTATTTCTCCATGAATTCATTTTGAACTTTTTATAGAAAAATGACCTAATTTTCAGAAGGTGTACTAGCGCAAGCAACAACCTTCGGATTTCCGTTGTTCTCAAAACTTCTCTCTCGCTCTCTTTCTCTCTTTTTCCCTTGGACTCCACATCATCGTTCGAGCGTAAGCTCACAGAAAAAAGACTGTCGGACGACCGCGAAAAACATACGTGGCCATTGAAGCTGCGTCTCTCACTTTAACATATAAAGTCGTATCTCTTGCCATAACTTTCGCGCCTGCGTCTCATCATCACATATTTATTTGAACTTCTCGCCACATCACAACCATACTTTCTAGCGATGACTGGGGTCTGAATGTTTTTCGGACCTCAGTTTTAGCTCTACATGACTTTTTGACTAAATAGAGATCTATCTATTTCGGACATTCTGACTGACCTGCACGCACAAGTGCGCCCTAGCGCACAGGCAGCGGGAAATTATTTTTTGTTGGTTTTCTTCGGATTATTTCGTCATTCCTTTTGAGCGGACCGTGCACGAGTAAATGACCAATCCAATTTTTCAATTGGTTTCAGTTTTTAGGTTTTTGATTCCTTTTTTGAGAGTACAGCCACGTGTAGGTGACTGTGCTATAACTTCTAGGCTTCCTTTGTTGTCTTTTCTAGAGTCTGGGACTCTGTCTTTGTTTCTCTTTGTTTTTCGACGCTATTGCTAGTTGTAGTGTCCTTTGCCACATTCTCTTCTTAGCGAATAAATTGTTATTTATTTGCAAATATTGTTCGTTGCCTAACTTTTATGAAAACCTCTTCGAAAACCGTGACGGAACTTTGCATATGTCCCACTATTTCTAATATTCTGTGTCTTTTCTCTGTATTCTTCATTTCCGAAGTCCCATAGGGTCACTTATCTACACGACAATTAACAGTTTTAGGTTCTGCGTTCATACGTACAATGGGCCGCCTTATTGGTTTTCAAACAAAAAGTCAATAGTGTGTCTGCGTCGTCTGTTTGGGTGTTTCTCGTCTTCAATTTATTATTTCTGTCGTTTATCTAATTGTTGAGGTCCCGAATCCAATAGATCGTTATTTGACGGTCGCCCTGTTCGCCCCAATCAATAACCTAGTTTTGCACTAAAGGAAATAGCAAAAAAAATGTTCGAAACTTATTTGCACAGATTCTTACGACTCATTTTATTTTTTCGTGTTGCCCTTTTACTCTATCCTATTACTTATTTTCCCCTACAAATTTGTATATTTCGCACGCCTCAACCTGTATGGCCTTTTCTGCTTCTCTGCACTCTTCTGCCAATGCGCACTATCTCGT